GTTATATATATATATATATATATATATATACATATTTACATGTTTCTGTTTAATCGGTTATAAATCAAACCATAAAATCACATCCATTCGGTTTGTATGGTATATACCAAAAATAACCATATTATCGATTGTTAATATCATTTAAAAATATAAAATTAAAAAAAGAACTAAGATATCTAAATCATTGATAACAAAAAATTTCAATGTGAAAATTTTAATAATTTAATAATTTATAAATGTTCTTGAAAATTTATTGAGGATTTTGAAATTAAAATATTTATGTAATCTTTTATGGTATATAGTTTAATCTGTATATATATTTGTTTTATTATTGAATGATACTTTTTACTTACATGGTTTTAAAATCATGTATATCTTTTTATAATAAAAATGTTAAACTATTGATCATTAACTTTTAACATAATAATTTTAATAGTTTAGTTATTTATTCTCGTTTTTTAAAATTCAAAATATAACCTATACAAAAAAATCTAAAGTTTAATTTTATAGCTAATTTGATTGTTTAATTTATTTTAATAATATAAAATTAAAGAAAAATGATGGAGGATATATAAATTGTTATCAAATATTTATTATTAGAATCATTAAGTGTCATATATATATATATATATATATATATATATATTAGTCATTTATGGTAATTCCGTAGGTTTTATTTATGGAAAGAAAATAAAATTGTAATATATCTAGGGGAACAATCATAAATACTTCTATCATAAATATTATATCATATCATCATATCATATAACGAATGTATCTAGCGAAATATAAAAATCGAATGTGGATCTACATATTTTTCAATTGAATGTAATTGACTACCTAATTAAGTGACACCTAAGCATAGGGTCTTTTTAATTATTACAAAATTGAGGTTACAATTTTTTAAATGTTTCTCTTTTAATATATAAGGGGATTTTACTTAAAAACTAAAATATAAATTGAAACTAAAATACAAATGAGAATCCGGTGATCCATTAAGAAATAAAAAGATGTCATATTTGTAAAAACGAAAAGCATATCCTTGATTAAGAAACTATGACGTGAATCATGAATATCCACTAATGAAAAGAATGATGATGCTGCTTTCAAAAAAGAAAGAAAAGTATTTGTATTGCGATAATTAAACGTCATATATCGATGTCAAAAAAAGAAGAAGAACGTCATATATAAAGCACTTATTACATAGTTGATGAAATCTTTAAGAATATAAAAGAACCAGCTAGGTCCGCTGGAAAATAATCAATTAGCCGTTTATGGCTTGATTTGGTACATTCTTATTATAACTTTTAATAAAGTGATTGGTAGAGAATTAGTAGCATATAATTTTAAAATTATAATAAAAATTAGTCTATAATATATTTATTTTAAAATAAGGTATATATATTAATAATATCTATATATTAATATATTTTGTTAGTAAATTATTTTATAGTTTAAATGTGAAATATTATTATTTAAACATGGAAAATTCATTTTGAAAACATAAATTTATTTTTAGTTATAAACATAAGTTTAATATTATAAAATAAAATAAATTAATAAATAATGTATATAAATTATCATTATTTGATTCTTGGTAAAACGGTAATGGACTCCTATATAAACTTATCATACCAATTAATATATGATATAATATAGTTATGCTTATTTCTATAATATATAAATTATATTAGGTTATGTTTTTAAAAAATAATAAATGATATGAGTAATTATATAAATTATATTATATTTTAAATATGAAATGTAGTTTTTAAGTTAAAAATATTTAATCGTAATTATTTTTTATTTTGAAAAAAGTAAATTCATTTTTTGAAAACTCAATTTTTTGTTATTATAATATTTTCTATTATTAAACAAATAAATTAGTTATCAATAATTAATTTTTAATTTTTATATATTCTAACGGCAAATGATCACTCAAAAGCTTCATATGAAAACATTGAACAATCATTTGGAGAATATTAGCATCTTGTAAATGTTACTCCAAATTATTTTGTAATAAATGTTGATTGGATAATAAAGAGCATAATATTTATGATAATACTCTATCCATCAAGCGCCAAATACCTAAAAAGGCAAAAAAGCTATTTTAATATGAAACTCGTAAACAAAAATTTATTTATATTTACATGTTTGAACACTCTATTTTTAGCAACATCAAGTTCACTTATATATGTTGTGTAATACCAAAGTAGTGTACATGATGGTTTAAATATTAAACTAATAAATTTATATATAATTAAACTTTGTGTTGCTAATAATTTGAAAATTTATTATACATATAAATACCAAATTTATTAACACATAAATTACTGATACAAATAATGTTCAAAATGTTATCTTACTAATATATTCTTCAATTTAAAACTCCTACACAAAAATGATAAAATCAGTATATTATAAAAAATACAATACAATGTCAATAAAAAAAAAAAAAAATTATCACATTCACACTATACAATTTGTTTTGAAAATATAATAAGATACAATTATTTATTTGGTAAATATTACAATATATATAGCACTAATCATGAAAAAACAAATATTAACTTATTAAAAGAGCAAAAACAAATGGATACACTACCCAAGCGATAATATTTTTCCTGTGGAATGAAATGACATGAGGCTACACCTATCACAGCAGTAGCACTTGCCAGAATTGTGGATCCACATGTTCGCGTGCAAACTTTTCGCCAACAAGGAAACTTCAAATTGGCAGCAGGGCTATATTTGTGGCTTGCCACAACCACAAGATGATATACGATTTTTTTGGATTTTACATAGAAGTTCCATAGTGTTCATTCTCTAAAAAAACTGATGCACTAGTTGTAAAAAGTTGTATTTTCTTTTTAAATAAATTTTACATATCTATACTATTATTTGCGAAGTGATTTTTCGCAACGGAACTCTCATGTTAAAAGTTAGAGTGGTTAATATCGTTTATACCTTAATGAATAAAATATATAAATTAGACATATAATAAAAACGAAATTGATATTTATTTGATTATACAAATGATTTAAATTAATAATAATGATAAGAATTATCCATAAAATAAATATATATTTAAAAAGAAAAAAGATAATTCCTATATATATTGTGTTGTTATCCGGAAAATATATTATAATAAAAAATCAAAAACAGAAAACACATAAATAAATACTCATAAAGAAACTTTTTAATTGTACATATTTGAAAAGAGAAAATTGAAAAATTTATAATACGTAATTATTTTCTAATTAAAAGAATATAATAATATAACATAATGATATATATATATTTGCGAAGTAATTTTTCGCCTCTGAACTCACACGTTAAATTAAATTTATTTTATATTTTATATAGTATAACATTAAACATGAATTAATCATAATAAAATAAAAGATCATTCAAAAAGAAAAAAATACGTAGTTGAAAAAATAAATTCAAATATATTGTATTATTGTCCAGACTAATATTATTCTTTCTGTAAGATGAATTTTTGAATGTATATTTATTGATTCAATTTATCAAACTGAAATATATGTTTCTATATTTGTTTATCAATTGAGAAGAAATGAAACAAATTTTAAATTTTTTTTTCAAAGTTTTAAAGGGAAAAATAGATTTTTTTTTTAATTTATGAATAGTTTTATCATGTAAAACCGTTTAATGTTCTAGGTCTAATTTTTGGATGAAAATAATCATTTGTTTTGATGATTTTTTAAATTGTCTTAAAAATAATTAAGCTCGCATGTGCGGGAAAAACACCTAGTATTCAAAAAACAAAAAAGTATCAACACGGGATCAATCTCTAGTCCATCTTATTAAAGATTCATTACAGATAATGAATTAGGTATGGTATCAATCAAATCAGGTGATAAAAAAAATTATTTACGTACTTAAGACCATCTCCGATGTATTCTCCTATTTTTTTCTTTTAAAATAGAGGAACTCTATAATAGAGATGGATTTGTCTCCAATGTATTTCTCTATTTCCTCTTATAAAAAAAGGAATATTCTTGATATATATTTTTTAAAGTTTACAAATAATACATTTTATTGTGAAAGTTGAAAATCAACCCAATTTATTTCAACCTTTTATAAAATTATGATATTGTTTACATTCTTTATAAACTATTATGTAAATAAAAAGTATAATTATATTTGTATTAAATAATATATTTCACTAAAAATAGTTGTTTTTATGTAAAAATTGTTAAAATAAAAAATGATTATTTTCTAAATAAATAAAATATGTCTTTATTATAGAGGAATGCTATTTCTTCTTCTAAACATAGAGGTGAAAACAGCGATCTTTATTTTAGAAGAAAAAATATAATAGAGATAGAATGATTTTGGCTCTAAATACTATTATAGAAGTAAAAATAAGAGAGGGTTAGAGATGTTCTAAGTAGAGTAAAAGCGTAATAATACTCTCTACAAATTTTTTTGAGGAGAGTTTTAGGGGTCGGTTGGTTATAACTGTAGTTTTAAAATTTTAGCTGTAGAAAAAATGCTGTAATTTTTTTGATGTAGCTTTAGATTTTATTGCTGTAGATTATATGGAAAACTCAAAAAGATTGCTTTAAATATTTGGCTCTAGAAAGCAATTGTATAGCTGTAGATTATTTTAGGAGCTGTGGCTTTTACAAAATCATTAAAACTTGATTGCTGTGAATTTGGTGCTACAGCAATTACCAATCACACTCTTAGATGCATATTTATTTATATAACATATTTCATACAAATATCTATGCAAAGCTTGAAATTAATTATATCTTAATAACTTTTGTAAGTGGAGAGGCCATAAAATTTGTTTGGATAAAGAACAGCAATTAAGATATGCATATCCACTAACTTAAGTACCAAATAAAGGAATAATATAATATAATAAAATCCCCTTCTTTAAAGTTATTCCTTTCATGTGAAAAAAAAAAAAACATTGTGTCTATAAATTTGGCAGTGGAACCTGGATTCCCATATCATCAGTGGTGAACATGGAAGCCATTGGAGTTTTTGGACCAAAATTTGGATCGAAACTCTCCTTTTGTTCTCAAACCAATTTATTTCCAGCATGCAAACTCTATCGTTTTCGGGTAACCTCATATCCTCGTAAGCATGCACATTTTGTTTCTTTGAAAGCGATGGCTAATTCTCTGGCTTGTGAAGAAAATAATCGTAATTTCAAAAAGCCTGTCCCTTCTACATGGGATCATCAATCCCTCTTTGCTAATGTAGATTTCTCAGTAAGCCTCTCTCTCTCTCTATATATATATATATATATACGAAGTCATGTTTTTTTTGGTAAATACATGAAATCATGGGTGTATAATTTCCTTTTTGGAAGCAAATGGATGCACTTGGGAGAGAGATAGATGCACTAAAGCCACAAGTGAGAAACATGTTCATATCTTCCAAAGGCATTAAGGAGAGAATTCTTTTTACCTATTTGCTTGTGACACTTGGTCTCGCATATCATTTCGAGGATGAGATCATGGAGACTGTAGAAGATGGTTTCCAAAAGATAGACGAGATGATGGCGGGAGAATATGATTTGTACACTGTTTCAGTCATTTTCTATGTTTTCAGGACATATGGTTACAACATTTCTTCTGGTAAGGATTATTTGGCTATGTTTATAATCATATACCCTTTTTAGCACATGCATTTGTGTAGCTAGGAGTACGAAGTTGGGTATCTAGAAAATATTTCTATCGGGTATACAACTAAAATAAATCAATTAACTGAAAAACACAAAGTGGAGAAAACGATAGTATAACAAGAATGACCAAGAGTTGATTAAACATATATGAATAAAAAAGATCAAATATTATTTTGTGTATATTTTGGTGTTAATTAATATATATATATATATATATATATATGAGTAATTTTAATATAAACTATTACATGTAAAAACTCTTTTTCAATGTACACAGGTTTTCATTTTATATATTTTTTTAAATTATTTAAAAATATTATGGAAATAAAAAACACTGCTTCTGGTGTTTATCTATTGATTAAATTATATGAAATTGGATTTATAATGTTTTTATTAGATTATTTGGTGTGTATTATATATACCATAGAAAATAAATGCATTTTTAGTTGTATTCTCTTAAAGTAACAGAAAAATGTTTTGAAGTGTTAAGGGAAAAATAGAGATAGATTTCACTGTAAATGAAAACAAACAATATAATTTATCATATTATTTATAAATTATATTTATTAGTAAAAAATCATTTTAATTTAATATTTATATAAATGTGTATATTAGTTATTAATTTATAATTTTAATTAGGTCATGTATATACATTAATTGCTTAAAAAAACTTATTATCCTATAATTTTATCATATTATTTTATGTGCAGAAAAATTGTACTAAAAATATATTTTATTTTATAATGTAACTATTAATTTACTAAGTACTAATTCACATCTCTACCTTGGATCTCTAGTGGCAGACTATAAATTTTATTGAGTTTCTATTGCATATCATTTCTAACTTGGATCGCTACTGACAGTACATTTGAACACAACTTCAGTTTTTTTTAGCAAACAAAAAAAACTTCAGTTTTAAAGAAATAACTGGAAGTCAATTTTCTAGGAATTTATTATATATTTGGCCTTCCAGTTTTTCATAGAAAATAATTAAAGTACGAATCAGAAATCTATTTAATACAACATTTGAATAGGATCTACACAATACTTGAGACTTTTTTTTATCAAAAAAAAAAACTTGAGACTATTCCTACTTGTGTGTTGATCATGACTGGCGTTCGTACGTACATCTATTAATTTGTTATTACTTGACCGAAAGACATTCTTTTTGGCCAACAGATGTTTTTGAGAGATTCTTGGGGGACCATGGAGAATTTAAGGAATGTCTTGCAAAAAATGCTAAGGGTATACTAAGCTTGTATGAAGCTGCTAATATGGGGACGACTACAGATTATATATTGGATAAAGCCTTAACCTTCACAACAAGTAACTTGGAGTCGTTAAGTTGTACATGCAAACCTAATCTCTCAAAGCTTATACGAAGCTCGTTGGGTCTACCACAGCATAAAAACATGGAGATATTAGTGGCAAAGGAATTTATCCGTTTCTACGAAAAAGAAGAAGATAGCGACCCGACGCTACTCAAGTTTTCCAAGCTTAACTTTAAATTCCTCCAGCTACTTTACCATCAAGAGCTCAAAATCCTTTCAAAGTAATTAACTAATCATTTCTCCCGAAAATTTGTTATAATTTAATATATTTCGCTTTTGCAGCTTAGGTTAATAATATTAATGTTTGTATGCATGCAAGATGGTACAAGGAACAAGACTTTGAATCTAAGTTGCCACCTTACCACAGAGACATACTCGTGGAATTGAACCTCCCTACGCTAGGATACATGGAGCCGAAACATTCACGAGTGAGAATTTTTCTGACCAAAATGTACACGATGCAAGTAATGGTAGATGATACGTGTGACAGATATGCTACTCTTCGTGAGGTCGAAATCCTCGCCGATATCATTGAAAGGTACACTCCTCATAATAATTTTATTTTAGCTTTTCAGAAATTGATACGCCATGTTGTAGTTTCTCCAGTGTCGTTTAACATTTCTTCTAATCTTTTTTTTTTGACTAAAAAAAAAGGTTCAACCTCTGAAAATCGGGGAAATATATCACGTTTTTATTTTTGACAACGATATATATATCAAGTTGTTAATGTAAACTATATATATTCAGACTAATTTGAGTTCTTATAAGACATAGATTATTTTCATAATAATGTTTAAATTTTATTCGCAGTTTTAGTATTAACTAGCAAATATGTAATTTATTAATAGAGACTTTAATTTCTTATTACATAGAAAGTAGAATAAAAAATTTGATAATTTCACAAATCTTTTTCAAAAAGTATTATACAGTGTATTAATATTTTACATCAAAAACCACAGAGAAAAATGATGGTTAATATACATATAATATCAATACGTAGGTGGGATGTCGACGATGCCATGGATGGAGTACCAGATTATTTGAAATCATTGGTTAAATTTATATTTGGTACATTCCAAGAATTTGAAAAAGAAGTTGGGTCAGAATTAGGAGGGCGTTACAGTGTGGAAGCTACAATTGAATACGTAAGCAATCGTAAATGATTTGTTTTTTTTTTTTGGAAACGACGTAATTATAGTAATAACTGTACATCTTCAAACTTTTGAGCCATTCCAGTTCAAGGAATATATATGGAGCAACCTTCAACTCGCAAAATGGGCATGTGTGGATCACTTGCCTAGCTTTGAGGAGTACCTATATGTTGGTGGACTCGAGGTTGCTGTAGATCTTACTGTGGCATGTATTTTGATGGCCATGGAGAATATCTGCAAGGAAGAAGCTTTTGAGTGGTTGAAAACTAGAGACAAACTCCTTAGAGACATGTCCACAAAAGCACGAGTGCCTAATGATATGTTTGGCTATAAGGTAAGTAAAAAGATTTGAATTTTGTCGATGATTCATTTGGTTTTCTTGTGTGATAATAGACCCAACATTTACATTTACGTAACATTATTAGGATGACATGAGCAGAGGATATCTGACTGGCTCGATCAACTGTTATAAGAAGCAATATGGAGTTACTGAAGAAGAAGCATTCAGAAAGCTTCGTCAGTTTATTGCAGAACTTGATAAGGTGATGAATGAGGATATTTTGAAGCCAATCAATGTGCCCCGCCAGGTTCTAAAGGTAGTCATCGACACTTTACGTGCACTAAATGTTGGCTACGATAAAGACGATGGATTTACCCATCACGAAACACATCTCAAGAACCATATAACGTCTATTTACGTTGATCTTTGAGGGCGTTGGTGTATCCCACATATTTCTGGTTTATTTAAGTAACTGCGTACGTACTTTATTTGGTGTCCCGATGGGTTGGTTTTCAAGAAAGTATTTAAAAACCAACTTTGTACTTGTGTTTTTTTTTTTATTGCTTTCCCTGTTTTGGCTTTATGTTGCTTTCCCTGTTTTTTGGCTTGGTTTGATTTTATGTTGGTTTCTGATGCATGCAGTGCATCTTGTCTTCATCTTTGACTTTGTTTCCATCATAGTTGAAGCAACTTTGTTTCTCTGTTTATAAATGTGAGAGTTATCATCTACAAGAAATTAAACATACTATAACATAGAGGAAATCTTTTCTAAGAAATACAATTAGATTAGTTCTTTAAATGCACTTACAGTTTTCAACTAAAAACAATTATTCAACAAATTCAAGATAAACCTTGACCCGCTGAATTAGCCTCTTGTGTTCAAGAACTTGTACAAAGCCTCTTGAGCCACTCACGTTCGTGACTCCTTATTGTTTTGTATCTCCTTCTCACAAAAACAATTTCAGCTAAAAATTCTCTAAATATGTCGACGGCACATTTGATGCCCATTCTCGCCTCTTTATACGTAGGCAACCCAAAAACTGAAAATCTACAAACCTTAAAACTTTTCTTTTGTGCTTTTCACCAATTATGGCAAACTTTCTTTTCCTCAAAGAACGATTTCTTCTTCTTAAGGAAGCCGTTTTGTATAATTATTTAATAAAACGTTATTTTAATTAAAACAAATATGTTTCATTAATCTTCTTTTTTTAACATTAAATACTTATATTAAAATTAAAGGACCAATAGGTTAAGTCGGTTTCAACCGGAGAGATCCTCGACGGTAAACTGATAAACAAAAATAGCTAAGACATGACGAAAGATAAACATAGCTAAAGAAAGAAAATACCCATAGAAAAACTTCACTTGTAGTCCTAAAGCATTCGAACGCAAAGAAGTCAAAATCGACGTTGAATAACCCAACCAAAAGGTTTTGATAACACGAAGTCTATGAACCTCCGTAGAAGATATTAGCTCCGGTGAGAGGGTTGTGGTACCAACTCTGTGAAGAACCGTCGATGTCTGAGACGGCGTAATGTATTGGAGACGCATCGGTGACATAATAGCCAATCTAAAAAACCTCGATCTGGAACCAATCCAAAAAATTATAAATACCTATATGGGTTTAAATTTTCAAGACCTGGAAGATCCGGATCCGACAAGACCGATCCGCGCCCGATTCAACAGTGTCCAAAACCAGAGTACTTGTGATTGCCATTAGTACGCGTAGCGAAAGCTTATTTGACGTCCTAAACGCGAGTGATCAGTGGTGAACCCTTATCTCTCTATTTGCTCACACTCTCTTAACCAAAACTGTTCCTTCTATTGTGTCCTTCAAATCGAAACCATACACCAACAATGCAACTTAACATTACGATAAAATTAAAGACATGCCGCCAGAAAGATATATCATATTTATATGCGGTCTTGTTCTAAGGAACCTAATAAGGAGTTCAATCTTCCAGCAAAAAAAAGGTCTTCTACTTCTCTGATTAATAACACAATATCCACTATAAAAGATAGAATATACCATGGTTCTGAAAAGGAAAAGAATTGTGGCCAGAAATTTTGAAATTTTTACAAGAATGTTACCTATGTGTTTGTGTGTGTAGCCGTTAACTCATTAGATAAGAACATAAATTTAATCAACAAAGGGTATATACAGCATTCTATAAGAGGTAGATATATAATTACACTTAGTGGAGGGGGGGGGGGAGAGGTAGTGGGTGATTGATTTGTAAAGATTTGACGAATTTTGAAAGTTATGTTGTTATTGGTAATATGATTTTTAAAATCTTATAAAGTCTTGTGTTATTGATGTGATAATTTTGTAATTCCATAGTAGTCTTTTGTTATTGGTGTGATGCTTTGTAACTCAACTTAAAATCTTTTATTATTTAAAAAGTTGAATATTTTCTAATTTTGTAATTATCAAACTATAGTGTTATAGGAACAATGATTCTTTATGCTTTACTCATTAACATGACTTTTGAAATTCTATACTTAATTCATGTATTTTCAAAGTTGAGATGACAAAACTAATATTTCTTAATTTGTCAAATGATACGTGATTGCATTCTCACAACAACAACCCCAAAACATTATTTTCCTATGAAACTGATGAGTTCACAAATAATCAAAGGTTGTCGTAGTTGTTTAATTTGTTAATTTAGCCATTTGGTTCAGTTAAAATAATGGGAGAATAGGTTATCCTTAGACTTAGGAAACTACTCTTCCACTCTTCCCATTTCCTTTTCTTCTAGGAGTGGATACTCCAAGTTTGTTTCTCTACTTCTATTTATACTAAATGAAAAGCCAAAAAGAAGCAAGAATTTGTATGTTTTGTGTTTATGTAAAAGTTGCTATAAAGCTGTGATTCGACGAGGTCACACCTATCAATTGGTATCAGAGCTCGGCTCTTGGTTCCAGTTTTTTTTCATTGTCATTTGTTTCGTCCATTTCCTTCTCTTTCTCAATATCCAATAAATTCCATGATTGAGAAAAGTTTGATTCAACCCAATTCTTAGAGGTGAAATTATTCACCCCTTTGATACCTTAGAACACAAGTTTGCTTTGATGTCAATGAAGGCCCCTCCTCAAAACTAAGAGAGTTTGTGATGAACAAACTAATAAAAACAAATCAGAAGTTACTACAATTTTTCTCTTCTCCTCATTATCTTCCCAAGGCATGCTTAAATACAAAACTAAGTAAACAAACTAACTACTACGTGAACATGGTCTACTAACACATCCACTACACCCTTCCACTAAACAACACATTACATAAAGATAAATGTTTGAAACCATTATTTTGATCTAAGGCCACGTCAGCTTCTTCTTCAATTTCTTGCAAGAAGCTGCGTGATTCTTCCTACATGTTCCATATTCCGAATCAACTAACTCGTCATTGGATAATTCAGAGAGGAATTTGGCATATTGATGATTGTTTGCTCTTTGTTTTGCCATGAATTCCGGAGGGGTCTTTTAAAATACCAAAGGTTTCAACACTACCAGTGTGGGTTAATCTAAAAGAAATCCCAGTTTGCTGCTATTCAAGACTAAGAATTAGTCATGTTGCCTCGGGTCTTGGAGAGCCTATCTTAACTCATAAGCCTCGCTTGGATCCCTCCAACATGGGGGAAGCTAAAGTGTTAGTTGAAATGGAGTTGGAAAGAGATTTTCCAAAACTTATAGCTCTGGATGATAAGCAAGGTAATATTTATCTTGTGAAAGTAGAATATACATGGATCCCTTCCACTTGTGAGAGATGTGGCAGCTTAGGTCATAAAGCTAAGAGGTGTCTTATGTCTTCAAAACCTCAAGAAACTTCTGGTACCTCAGCAAATCCAGCGGGTGTGAGTGTTGACACTCCAATTGTTGATTTTGACAAAATCTTGCAGGAACAAAATGTTGAAACAATCACAGGAAGTCTCATGAAAACTTCAGCTAGTGTGCCTCATGTTCACTCTCTACCGGAGCTGAACATAAACTTACAAGATGTTACACACTTACACTCAGACTTGGTAGCAGATTCTCAGGTACCAATTGATTCTGCACTCCCTCCTTTGGAATGCCAGGTTACTCATGAGGTGCAAGAGGAATACCAAGCTTCAAAGAACAACACTTGTTACTCTACCCCACAGGCTCAAGAGGATTACCAAATAGAACAGCCAATTTTAGCTAAGACTTTATCACCATTAGTAGATATTGTATCTACTCCCACTTCAACTCTTATTATGGAAACATCCATTGCAATCTTATACAAACTTAAACTATATTTAATAAAAACATGCACAAAAATATTTGTCACTAACAAACAATTAAACATCAAAATTTTTGCTTTTAATATGCATACAAATCAAATATCAAAACCAAACGTAACTTTGCAAACAACACTAATCACAACCAAGCCATTTGAATACTTAATATATAATTCAAAACTAAAATAAAAACTGAACAAGAGATCATACAAAGAGAGAAAGAAAGACATGTGTTATCTATGCAAACTCTGAAAGATGAATAGAAAGCACATAATAATTCTTACATGCTACTCTACTTTTTTTATAAACAGAGTAAACATAACTTATTTAAATATATATTATATGGAAGATTATATGGAAGATATATAAAACTATTATTATATCATCATTACTTTAGCTAACAATGGTAGACAAAAGCAACTATTACTATATCATCATTACTTTAGCTAACAATGGTAGACAAAAGTTAATATAAATCCCAAAAGAATCCACTACATTCCACACAACAAAATATATGAATTTAATAAATAGGGGAGGATATATTGTTATAATCAATGAAATCTTTTGAAAAAAAAATTAATCTGTAGATTTCTGAAATCAGCATGAATTACATTCCCACTAACTCCCTTTATAAAATGCTCTTTTAGTTGTCACTTTGAGCGATAATCACGGTTAAACAAATTAATTTGATCAGGTGTGTATCGTTAAAACTTAAAAGAAAGACTTCCGCACTCAATTATTTCACGCCCGCCCTTGCATAAATAAGCAATTGATAAGTGATTCTTGACAGAAGAACACTCACTCACTTTGAGTAACAATGGCAGCAGCATGGTTCATCGTTGACTTTCAAAACTCTTCAATCTGTATCCTCCTTTGCCTCTTTTCATTCCTCTGTTACTCTTTCTTCTTCCTCAAGAAACGAAATAACTCAGGACAAGGTTGTGTTCTGCCTCCTAGCCCTCCGTCTCTTCCCATCATCGGTCATCTTCACCTTCTCCTCTCTCCTATAATCCACAAATCTCTACAGAAACTCTCCTCCAAGCACGGACCTCTCCTCTATCTTCGCCTCTTCAACGTCCCCATAATCCTCGTCTCCTCTGCCTCAATAGCCTATGAGCTCTTCAAGACTCAAGACGAGAATGTTTCCACCCGCAACCTCCCTACGAACGAAGGCTCCATCTTCTTCGGATCTTCCGGCTTCATTACCCAACCTTACGGAGGTTACTTCAAATTTGTGAAAAAAATCGTCACCACCAAGCTCCTTGGACCTCAGGCCCTGGAGAGGTCACGAGGCATCCGTGCGGATGAGGCAAACCGGTTTTACTTGAACCTCATAGATAAGGCGACGAAGAATGAGAGCGTTGAGATTGCTGAGGAAGCTATGAAGCTAATAAGCAACAGCATGTGCAAGATGCTTTTGGGAAAGGGCTTTTCAGAGGACCAAGAGAAAGTGAGG